CCCCAAAACCCCAAAACCCCAAAACCCCAATATGCTGAGATAATGAGAATAAAGTAATTATAGTAAGTATATTTACAATGATCGATATAACTAGAGAGCTTTATTCATGATATTAGCCATTTCTATGGTTTATAATAGGAAGGATGAGCTATATATATAGCGGCTTTTAGCCCTGCAGCAAATACTAGTAGAGTTACTATAAATTATCTTTAAATATTTCAAATGATTACTAATATGTCTGATCCAAAAGAAAATTTAGTAAATCCAACTATTATATATAGTGATAACATTTTATTTAGGGCTTAGTACAAGTTAAAAAACCTAAATAAGTAATTAATAGAATGATTTGACTGAATTCTTACCACTCTAAGTCCAGTTTCTATTATGAAAAAGAGAAAATTCAAAGGGACAATCATTAAAATTGGAAACTCTCTCTTCATTAGCTTTCCTAGTAATCCAAATCTAAATAGAAAAGTCTTCCATACTAAGAAGAAAAACCAGAAAATAAAGCAAAAATGCATGACTACTTGTATTCTAAAGCAAGATGATTAAGCAAAATATAATTAAATTCTTACCCAATTAATGCGAAAGCTACAAACTTTTACAGATCAACATTAGGATTATTTAAACTTCCAACTTCGAGGAGCTTTTCTCCTCCAAGATCATAGAAAAATGTCATTGAGTTACAGATGATTTCGATAGTAATGAAAATGAAGAAAGTATAAATCTTTGAAGAGATTGAACTCGCTGTCACTAATTGATCTGTGTTCATATTTAAATTTAAATAGTTAGAATTATAATATAAGCAACTGCTTAATCAGATTAAGTAATCTATAATTATTAAATATATTAATCCTTGAGAACTTTTTTCATTCACTTTAATACTACATACACAGAAGATGGAAAATCTACAAGAACACAATAAAGAGGCTGCGCTATAGCCTTAATCATTTGAAGATTTTATTGCATTTCACGGAATATAACTCTATGCTGTCAACTTCCCCAGAAATTTAGAGCACAAGTTATTCGATAAACTCTAAAGTTAGAACTTTGATATTGGATATAAGGTTAAGATCATGGTAGATGAGGAACAAGAAAAGATTGAACTTATTGCTTAGGAAGGTGGTCTAAAGGCTAACGAAGATGTTTACTTAGTTGACCATGCTTGGACCTTCAAATACAGAGATGGTGAGAAGACACTAAGAGAAAATGATTAGCTACTGTAAAGATTATTGCAAAGTATAGGAAGGTATTCTGAGAAACAAGATCTTCCTCATAATCCATATTAGAAAAAGAGACCAACCTTCTAAGAATTGATTGGCACCTTTGATGAAAATACAAAAGTATATGACCTAGATGATTATGGAATAGTCAAAATAGATTTGATTGGCTTTAGTCAAAAGACTGAGGAAATATCTCTTTTTAACAATAAGATTGATAATCCAGGCCAGATCACAGCTTTCTTGGTTCCACTTCCTCATCTTAAGGCCTTATGGCTGAATAATAACCCAGTGGTAGAAAGTTGTGTGAACTTTAACTATATTGGAGAGATGATGCCAGAATTGGAGATCTTGAATAGCAGGTTCACCAGTAAAGCAGGCAAATGGGCATTATTATACTATGCAAGAGATCAATAAGTTCAGGAATTAAGTCAAATAAAAGAATTAGATTTGACTGGAAAAGGAGTCCTTCACATGAAAGACATCTCCTTTTTCGATGAAATGACTTCTCTGACTACAATCAATTTGAGTGATCACCCAGAGTTCTTTATGACAGAATAAGAAATTGAGGAACATTAGAACATTCAAAGGGAGGGTGCTTAGCATGAAACTGGAACAGTAGAATTTATCTAGAAACTTCATGAAGTTGATGATCTCCTTCATAAACTTAAGCATATCAAAAAATTAATTTGTGATGAGTCATTAGAGAATTATATCCTTCAAAATAGACAAGAGAAAGTATTTTTACCAAGTCTTCTTGAAATAAATAGAGTAGGCATCAAGATTTTAGATCAATCATAAAGAGATAAAGAGAAGAACATTAGAAAAGTCATGGATAAAATTTGGATGTACCTTGGCACCTATAGAGTTGTTAAGGAAGATCAGATGGATGAGGAAAATATTTGGTATCTAATGGACGAAGTAGGCACAGCCATTAAGCATAGTGATCAACCTAATCTTGCTATACATCCATTTATTTATTCACCAAACGGAAAGTTAGATGAGCACACTATCACATACTCAGTAAATTTAAAGAATTTTTAAAAACTTATAGATTTGCTGGCCTAACTAAGACATCAATGAGGGTGACGTTATTTATAGAGATTTCTTAAAGGGCATTGATGAATCAAAATTCAGATCAGCCAGACTTTCAGTTTGGTTTAACACTCCAGAGGAATATTTCTAAGAACAAATCAAGATCTATAGAGTAATCTCAATTTTATTCATAATAAATTTTAGTCAATCAAACCTGAGTTTGATGCTGAAGAGAGACATAAGTATTATCAAAACAAGTATGAGCCAGTAGATTCAATCCTTAATGTTTGCAAAACTGATTTGCCTATTATTGTGTATACTGACTACATTTAAATTCAAGATCACCTTACTGATCCAAGATTCAAATTGACTGAGGATCCGTTTGCTTCTCAAGTAGCTTGGATTACTGTTGACTATTATGTTGTTTTAAGACAAAAATTGAATCTTAACGAGGATATCAAATTCTTTAATTAGTTCCAATTCGAAGGATCTTTAGTGATGAAAAATCATTTGGCAACACTTGTAAAGACTACCCTTAACGAAGAGGATTAAAATATAATTCAAGAGACTTTCATATTAAACGATTTCCTTCCAGCATTTATGGGCAGATACCTTGAGAAGAAGAAGTTGGCTGAAGATAACTCATGGATTCTTAAACCAACAAACATGGCCAGATCTATGGATACCTGGGTGACATCAAATTTAGATTTAATTGTCAGAATGGTTGAGACTGGACCAAAGATTGCTCAAAAGTATATAAACAACACCTGTCTATTTAAGGGAAAGAAATTTGATATGAGATTCGTTGTGGTTCTTAAGTCAGTTCTTCCTCTAGAAGTATATGTTTACGATGAATTCTATACAAGACACTCTAATAATAGCTACGAAGTGACTGAAAGTTCATTCTCAGACTATGAAACTCACTTTACTGTTATGAACTACAAAGAGGGTGTAACTATCACAAACGTTAGATACTTCGATTTCGAGAAAGAATTCAACTAGGAGTATGAGGGTGTGATTACCTTTGATATCATAAAGCAAAGAATTCATTAAGCAATTAAAAAGTTATTTATTGCTTTCCAAGTTAAACATGGCAAAGAATTTGAAGATCTAGGGGAGCAAACTAGAAGATGTAGATCTATTTATGGAATCGATGTGATGATTAATGATAAATTTGAGCCTAAGATCTTAGAGGCTACATTCTCACCAGATTGCAAGAGAGCTTGCAGATTTAACCCAGATTTCTTCAATGAGATATTCAGTTGTCTATTCCTCAATGAGACCAAGAATATGACTAAGATCTGATTCAAATTATTTATTTTTTACTCATTAATGTTTAAAATTAAGTATATCCTCTCATTTTGGGGTTTTGGGGTTTTGGGGTTTTGGGG